TATATATATATATTTGCAAACACTATCACATTTTCCTTCATTTTTACATTTCAGAAATCATTAACAAGAACCAATGATATTTTGACTATATAGTAGTAATTTACTTCAGCAGTCAACAGCTGAGAAGATCAAGGAAGTTAGGATATTCTATTCTAATCTACTTGCACGAAATAGTGTCCAGTTCTGCAATTGCAAAGAATATACAATGAATCATTACGTATTAGTACAAATAAAATATGTAGTATAACCAAACAAAGTATACCACAGATGCACAAGAATGCTGAAAGTTAAATCATTATTATTGAATCATGATTAGCAACATACTTGCACAAGTCTGGTAAAATATCTTATATTTTCATATCCAGAATATATACATTTTCCAAATTGATGTCCAAAAACGTTAATTTTTCTAACATAAAATAAGGTAATCTTAAGGACAAAGATTCATACATTGTTACCAACTGTGCCCATAAAAAAAATTGCATTAATGTTTTTTATATCACTTCTTTGAAGAGGTCAAATTTATGTTGATGAAACGGCAGAAAAGAAGAGGAAAGAAAAAAATATACAAGGCCATCAGTTGCTATTAATTGCTGAGTGTTTATAGACTTGATCCACTGGTCCTTTTCATCTCTCTTTAACATTAATTTTTGGAACAACCAGCAGCCACATTAACTTACTTTATGCTTTGTATCTGCTTTTGACAAAAAGTGCAGTAATTAAAATTCCATATTTCCATATTGAAGTATGACCAGATGAAAAGGAAACTTTTTATGTTATTTGGTCTCAATATTTGAACCCTTGGTTTGGTGTTTCATTAGATGTATACTTTTGAAATTGGGTAATATCAATAAAATATTTTGCAATAAATGCATTAATGTACTATGACAAATATGATTCAACATTTGTCGAATATTATTAATCACATTTATTGTAAAATAATATACTTCACAACTTCGAAAGTATTCACCTGAAGAAAGAAAACCAGGGGTTGAAATAGAGCAATCTAATAAAATAAAATATTATCATAGTTCAATAACATGTTATTTTAATAGTCATAATATTAACATAATTTCTGGTTTTGTGCAGTTTGTGGAATTTTGTTCTCTGTAGTTATTTTCCTGTAACTGAACTGCAATGAGTAATGCCCTGTATCTCCTAAACTGGTTCAGTTGAGTCCTCAAAGAAGATTGAAACTTCATCACATCATTTGTGGAGGTATTATCTGATGGATTAGTTCTCATGCGAAAAGACTCTTACGATAAGTTTTGTTTTGCACATCTCTAGATGCTACATTTAAAGCACCTCTCCCCACCCCTTTAGATCCATGGAGAGCATCTAAACATTAATCAATCATGCATTATGCCAAAAATAATTCTCACTTCTACAAAATGCCTTATGCAGTTTCATATAGCAGTTTTTCTTTTCAATTAAATTAGTGAATAATTATCAAGAGATTACTAATACACTCATTACTCTTTCATTCATTCCATTACGGAAGACCTGTATTCCAAATACCACCTATGCCATATTCTCATGATTTCAGGAGGGAATATCTCTAACATCATTAATTTTATTTAACAATGTAACCACACACAGGAATCAACATCACTACTTCCACATCACTCTATATGCAAACAAAACACTGTTGTGTCACCAACATTTTGATTCTCAATTTGAGATCATGAGGGAATGCAAGTCAATTAGTATATGTGAAATGATGGTGTGTTAATAATTGTATTTTAATGTGTGACACTCATGTAATCCATACCACATAACCTAAAGGATCCAAAAATGGGTTAAAATTTAAAAAAAAAACTATGAATTAGAAAAGCAAATTATTTACGTCATTACATCATGTCCTCTCGCCATACTTATACAGTGATATTGTGAAGCCTGACGTAGTACATCATAAAAACATTGCCAAACCCAAATATATGTGAAATTATGATTTTGAAATACCCCATGTGTATTCCAGTTACTTACCCATAAATCCTTGCTTTTAACTATACTAGCATACATAATATATAAAATATATATCAATAACGTAGAATAATCATTTGTCATTCTTATAATAATTTGTTTTCTTCATAACCGCTGCATCTAAGGCTTATGGCTTACCTAAAGAACAGAAACGGGAACGAACATTTAGATTCATTGTATCATTCGTTGATCTTCCTTTTAACCCTTCGACTCTGTTTCTCAAATATTTATGTGAACTCTGTTTGAGGTCCTTTTGACCCCAAATGTTTTACTCAATAATTATAAGTATTTTACACAGGAATGTTATTTGGAATTACTCGTTAGAAAATTATGCTATTTATTTGCATTATTTACTATGCTGTTCTAAATAACAAAGAAAAATTATTTCCAGAAAAAAACAATCTAGCGTATTGTTATTACTATATATAGGTATCTATCTTACCAGCATGAACATGTTTGAAACAGGACTACCAAATTGAATAAACAAATACACAAAATTATCACTCAGAAACAACAACATAATGCAAAACAAAAATGGACAGATTTTTACATTTTTTTTTAGTTGTATAGATGTTAAATGCAGCATTTTGGACTCCAACAACATAAAATCAAATTATTTTTAACAAAAAAACAAACTTAAAAAACTGAAAATTTACAACATATGTAAAACTGGACATGGATAGCATATCTAAAAAGAGAAGTTTATATGAATAATTTTTATTACAAAACAATATTAGCCCCTGGGGTCAAAAAAAGACCCCAAACAGAGTCTAAGGGTTAAACAATTTGTCAACATTTCTGTTGAAAATACTACAGAATATTTTAAATGAAACCAACTTCCACATTGTTTATAATAATATTATATAAATTTATTCATATAGGTATGTGTACTATTCTATTTGACTTTTTTGGTTATGTTACATCGTATGGATTATGCAATTTTCACATTTTAAAATGCAATTATTAAGATGCTGTTTTAGAGTTTGAGAGGGATATTTGTGCACTCGAGTGTTAAAATAGAGATTTCATGTGAACTTTACCACTTACACTTATTGACTTTTAATCTCTGATATTTTCAAATTGCGCTCAAAATGTTGATGGTGCAACAGTGTTAATCAGAATACAGTGTTAATGTTGATTTCTGTTTTTAGACATAGTTGAATAGATTTTATACAATAGAAAATCATTCCATAAATTCATAATTTTCGGTTTCAATGAAAATTTTTTAGAAGTCTCCATTAGATGATTCCCAGAATAACAAAAAATTGAAATTGAAAATATGCCTTCTGAATGGATTGAAATACAATGGCTTCCAAAATGTGTCTATTTTCAAGTACCACTTGCCACAAAATTACACATTATCAGTAAGTCAGAAAACAGTTGGGAAATTGACATAGAAGGAAACATTTACCTCTTTATTGAAATCATTCATCATTATCATGTGATGTACCTCCATGTTTACTTTGTAATAAAGCAGTATTGACAGCTTTTGTATAGGAAATAATAAACTTCATTAAGGTGAATACATTACAATAATTCCTTTATGTAAGTCTCTTTTCATCACAGATACGGTAGATATCAAGTATATTAAGCACCAAAACTATGACCTATGCACCTCTAAAGCAAAGGCTACATATTAAATTTCAACAAAATACACAAGAGTTGAGTGTTTATGTATTCCTATAGCTAATGACTGGGCCTACATATTTACAATTTCTCGAAGTACACAGTATTTTTACAATAGTGATGACTTTTTCATTCTGAATTCATCTTATAAGGATTGTATAAAATCCTCCCACACCTATTTACCTTTCCACAAACCACCTGTCAGAATGTATCAATATTTCTAAGGGAATTCAATACACATCTCATACTTCAGTTTTCTCAAGAGTTTTTAAATTCTGGAGGGAAGAAAACCGATTCTATAGAGGTGTGCATTAGTATAGATAAAGAATTAAATCAAATGTCAGATGCGAGTGTGACCTGAAAAGTTTTGAGTCATATTAATCTAGACTTACATAGTTTTTGAAGAATTTGTGGTTTGTCTTAAAAATGTCACAAAATTATTTTGCTGGTTGACAAAACTGGTTTCAACAATTAGTATATTTATACAAACCGAAAAATTATTAAAAAATTAAATAAGTGGTCTTAAGAATTGAGATCAATTCATTATTTTGTACTAACACAAGCGAACATGGTTGGGCAGGTCAGAAACACATAAAAACATTAAGGTTCAAGGGACTATGAACACTAACAAAATTACTTCAAGAAAAAATACCTTGTCCTTCTCAAACATCTCTAACTTTTCGTCAGCAAGACATTTGCTGTATAATGTTTTGGCAAGAACACCACGAGGTCTATACATTTCAGATTGAACCTTCAATTTATATCGAAACACTAATGCAGAAAATGGATCGCAGCAACAATAGCCGGAAAGTACACAAGCCAACCAGCATCTTCAAAACTACTTCGCTCACAGTTTTACATAAAACTCAACGGCCTTACACATGACATTACTGAAAGACATTACACTATTCCATCTATTGATTCATGATGTAAGAGAATTTAGAGGATTTCATTGATTCACGGTGTATTTCTTACACCGTGATTGATTATATAGAGTGAATTGGTTCGTCTCCCTTTTTATTACAGCGTAAGATAAATCTAAGGCCATAGCGGAAATAACATAATGTTATTTCCACCATTTCTTAGGCTTATTTCTTACAACGTGGAAGATATTTCGTACACCGTGCTTTTTATCGCGCCAAATCTGATGAATCGACTCTTTTCCGCGAGAATATGGCGAACGATACCACTGCAAGAATTCTCTTCTCCGTGGACAATGGACATGCGAGTGGAACACAACCATAGAGTAGAGATGTGCCGATGATCCACAAAGTCACAATGACTAGAAGACTACCGATATCCCCCTTATTAAAAGTTCTCGTTATATTAAGATTTCATGCAACTTCATCCTTTCAGGTATGTTTCCAAAATTTGTATTCATTACTGACTTATAAGACCTGTTATAAGTAATTATGAATTTGCAATACGAATAACAAATGAAGTAATTTAAATTGTTGTAAAATTGAATTTATGTTAATACTATATGGGGTGGACATTTCCAATTACATGAAATCCATTACCAATATTGGCAGACCTATGCACATTAGTTATACGATATCATAAGTGAATTTTGGGGAATCGGTTGAAACTGATGTTAAGTATTATATTACAATCAAATAATGCACATAAATAATATAAAGAAAATGCACGAGACATTGCAGAGATTCATGGATTATATTTTTGACCAAACGTTTCTTATTATTAGGGATTGGTAGTAAATACATTTTAAAAATATTAACATGACACCGGTGTCAAATAGTCATTGAAATTATAAGAGAATCGTAGATGATATGGTTACAAATCTGCTTGTTATTAGTGATTGGTAGTAAACACATTAGTAAAATATACCAAACATCTCGTTTTGTCTGTATATGGACGTATTACAGGTAGTCATATTACGTCGTGCGTGCGACGTCAACTCTACGTTGGAGTGTCCGCTTCCTGTTAAATTGGAGCAACTTTGTACAAGACGAAGTGAAATCTTTGTAAAAGATTAAGTGCATTTGTAAACTCGGTTGCCAAAAACTTCGGAACCGCTGCCGCCAATGCGATGTTGCCACATTTCCTTTCCGCTTAAGGGAACACTCATCCCGCGGTCGTAAGAAACGTCAATGACATACGAGTGCCTGTAAGTGAACACTTATTTTGAAAAAGCACTTATTACTTAATGGTTCGCTTTTCCTATAAGTGACGACTATGAATTCGGCCTTCACCTATATATAATAAGACAGAACAGATAAATGCGGATGCGGAGAGCACGTGTAGAGTTGCACACGTTTAAATTGCCGCGCAAAAATAGCGCGTTTGAGACGGCGTTGCGGACTGATCAAAGGGAAAGGGGAGAGAGACTCAACGTCAGCGAGCAGGTAGGGGAGGAAGTAGTGTCCAGAGGGCAGCGGTAAACACCTGGTAACAACTCCCTCTTCTTATCTTGGCAGTGGTGTAAACAGTTCGTGTTGGATTTAGGCACAGAAAATAGGGCCCGAATTCATAGTCGTCTCTTACACTGAGTGTTTCCTTAAGTACACGAATCGTATTCATAAACAGTCTTAGTGAAATCTTAATGTTGTAAACACGTCTAGTCAGTGTCGCCATCTATGATACTCGTTCGTTGCGTCATCTTTAAACATGAAAGTGTTCGATATATCACGCACAATGGAATGGCCGAGGTGGGTAAAATTACTTCAATTTAATTTTACTGCCATGAACATAAGTGACGCTAACCTGAGAAGGGCACATTTTTTTTCACTATTTGCAGTGAACAACTGTATAATTTGGCATGTAATTTGTTGCACCCGCGACAAGTCGATGAAGTCAATTTCGACGATAATAAAAAAGCCTAACCGATCATTTCCGCCCGCAAGTAAACGAGGTTGTAGCGGACCATAGATTCCACCATTGCATGCAGAAAAGCGGCCAGTCCGTTAGTGAATTCGCAGCGGAGATACGTAGATTCCCTGCAGATTGCGGTTTCGGCGTCTTATTAGATAATATGATTCGCAACCAACTTGTGTGTGGATTGAAGGATGGCAATGTGAGAACTCGTCTGCTGCAGCAGCAAAATTTAACACTTAATGATGCGGTCGAAATGGCATCCCGAGCGGAGACTGCGTTACAACACGTCCGTGAAATGACTTCAGAGGCAGCTTCCGTCCTTTGGGCATCAGACAGAACCCACGGACCTATGGGGACACAGTTACCAGGCATCATCTGTTTTCGCTGCGCTGGAAGTCACCGTGTTTCTGAATGCATGATGGACCCATCGTCCTTGATTTGCACGACATGTAACAAGACCGGTCATGTCGCAAAAATTTGCCAAAATTCTCGGCAAAAAAAATTAAAAAAGGGTAAGTCAAATCAAAATGCGACTCAAAATGTACAGAGTCTGTTTTCAGGGTGTCCGACAGCGGTGAATCTGCTAGTGTGCAAGCGGGTCAGATACAAGGGACACGAAAAAAAGGAGGTTCAGCCGGACTCCGCCTTATCGGGGAATACTCACCCCCACGCTCCGCCTTCCGGCCTACCTGCTGGACACTACGTGTTCAACGTTGAGAGATCTTCTCTACCTTCACCTGCTGCCTCTTCTTCTGCAATCATGGTTCAGGTTGTGGTCAATGGAAAGCCGTTGATGATGGAAGTTGACTCGAGGGCAGCGGTGTCGGTTATCCACAAGAATACCTTTCTTCAGTTATGGCTCGAAGCAACAACATTAAACCCGGTACCAGGACTTCAAGTTGGTGATTACAGCAACAAACCCAAACAAATTTTGGGTGCTAAGAATATGGAAGTCAGATTTCGGAACCGGGCAGCGGTGCTACCACTTATCGTGGTTGACGGTTGCAGAGAACATAGCTTGCTTGTCCCCGCTCTCGGTTTGCAAGTGTCTGACTGAGACGGACTTCCTTATACAACTTGCTCAGAACCGGATGCATTGCAATAAGAACAATAATCACGTAAACAAAACTTTACGAATCACGTACCAATACTTCACTCCAGAAGGAAACGCAACTGACTGCGAGCTTGCATCCTGCGGATACGAGCAGTGTGAGTCAATGTGTACACAACTATGGTAGGAACGTGGTGTGAAGGGACGCGATCTCCCCTAAACCAATAAGTTTGAGGAATGACCTCTTCCGGCAGCTCTGAACCCTCGATCTTCAGCGGCCATGCTAAAATAATTCTAATGATTATGTGAAGGGTTAAGTCTATATTTTTTGACAATTTCTTGTAATGTTTATTTATTCTATATTCTTGCGCAACAGTTTTGAGAATTTGGGCAATTTGTTGGGACCTTTATAGAAATTCACAAAAGGAATATTTGAGTAGAGTACAGAGAAGAGCGTGTGAATTTACTTTCCGCAGCAATAGGAAGAAAGTAGAATGGGAGTCTCTATAAATCAGGAGGATTAAGGCAAGACTCTGTGCCATGTGCAAAGCGTATGCCTCTTTTCCAGATTGGAAAGATATTTTCATTCAACTCGATTGACCCACTTACTTTAGTAGAGCGGATCAAAAGCACAAAATTCAGTTCAGGACACAGAGAACAGATGTTGGAAAAGTTTCATTCACAAATAAAACAATAACGGTCTGGAATAAGTTACCTGTGACAGCCACGGAACCCTTTCCTCTAGGTGTACAAAGTTTTAAAAGGAGATTACATTTTTGTAAGTTAGGCTTATTAAAATAGTAAATATTTTAGTTATAATTTTATTATAATTGTTATTTTTTATTATTAGTAGTAAGATAATCACTATTAAATGCATTGGTTTATTAAATATATAATTATATTTAAAGTAGTAGTTGAATTGGAGTGTCGTGACGTGTTGTGAAGTGTAATGCAACAGAGAAGTAGAGAGAGAAGTGAAGTGCAAGTGAAGTGAAGTGAAGTATAGTGAAGTTAAGTGTATTTATTAGTTAAAAATTCCGTGCAGGACAGTCATAAAGTGTTAGGTAATGTGTTATTGTTATTATTGTTATATTATTGCCTTAAAATTACAGTGTATTACTATTCTTAGTTGTAATATGTAAATTGTAGTGTTCTGCCACCAGGTTGTATACCTACCTGCAGAAATAATAAATCTATCTATCGCGCCGATTGGTCTTACTAATCCAAAGTTTCATCTTGGCTATTCTCCTTGTACCTGTGTCTCGTAGTGCCTTTCGAAGGATTTCTGTAGATCCAGTTCTCCCTCTTGTTGAAACCCACCCTAAAGACCTTAGAGACAGACCCTATCCTTTCTTATTTGAAATTTAGGTAGTGCGGAATGTAATATTTAAAGGTATAGGTGAATATTCTTTCGTAGAGCGGTTCAGCTTCCTCAGAAGTGAGCCAGTAATTGAAAAGTCTATTGGTGGTAATTGCAACCATTTGTCTTAAAACTGCTTCCTTATACGAGTGTTTTTGGGCGACATCAATCCTTTTTCCCTCCAGTAGTAACTTCTGCTCCAACGTTATCAATAGCTATCTACGGTTCTTGAAATAATATAGCGAAGCTAAAGGGGAGTTGATCCAAATGGAAAGATCTGTCTTTTGATTTAGCGATGACGGTTGGACAGGTTCCAAGAAGCCTTCCGTTACCAAAGATTTACCCATATTTGTATTACCAATTATGACGAATCCGTTTTTCTTTTCGAAATAACGTGTGTAGATAGAGAGGGAAGTGGCATAAAACCGAGATACTTTGGTTTTGTTCGCGATAAAGTGTTTCAATCCTTAAGATGTTATGTATGGATGGTTCGCTTTTTGAAAGTTCTTGTAGTGCATGATCAAGATAATTAGTATTTCGCAATTTTCCCTTCAGTTCAGTATTATCTATCTGACATAAAGATGAAATATAACTTTCTCATGTCGTGTCATGCTCTTTTAGAAGACGTAATTTAATTTCATTTGGAACTACCCGTAAATCCTTAATAT